ATCAAGTTTGATATTTCTCAACTCGTATTAAATATCAGATCACTTTCAATAATCGGATCTATATTTAACATCGAAAATAATTACTCAATGTTTGTTATAATTGAGGAAGAGACGGAAAATAATGATACTATAATGCGAGACCTAATTAACTTTGAAAAATCATAGTGCCTTAAAAATATATATAAGACAATTTTTTTCTTTTAAAATCATGTTGAAAGAAATCATGGACTTTATCTATAGGGCAAGCAACAAGTATCGGAGTTAAATATCTTAAAAACAAGACACTTGAGAAAAAATTGATGATACTAAAATATCAATCTATATCTCTAAAAAGTATTTAATCAAAAGAAATTTTATTGTAGTTTTTAAAAGATTTCAATATCAAGAATATTAAATAAAAAAGTGAAAGTTCTAATTTAAAAAGTGGATAAATTCCAATTCAAAATTTTAAAATCAAAACTTTGAGAATTCTATTAAATCTATACTCAAGATCAAATGAATATTGCCATTTGATGAAACTCTACAACTTTCATATAAAACATTTTATTTTGAAATATCTTGTTTTTAAGATATTTAGTGGTTCAATATTTTTTACTTACTTTATATAATATACAAAGAAAAAAATTAGGTTAACATGAATGCGATAAATATGATAATAATTAGAATACCTTTCATGTCGATTACAAAAATCATTGGCAAACTTTCGTTGATCTTTTTGGCAAATCCTATTTAACTATCTAGCTTACCTTCAATAGAAGAAGTCGACGGTATCCTGCAACTGTCTGAACCTCGTCGCAGATTGACGACCACAGCTTCCACTTCAGAGTCCAACATTTCACTCGTTCGTCAAATTCGTTAAAAAAAAAACAAAAAAAGAGAAAGAAAGAAAAGATAATAGCCGTATAATAGCGCGACGACAAAACTCGGTCAAACTGAGTTGACAATGGTCTATTCTTGAGGCAGGCGAGGAATTCGCGAGGATGCTTATCGACCGGCTCGTCGCCTATCGTCCGGATCGACCAATAATAGTGATAGGAAACAGTCACGTGCAGCCGCTTTCGACAGTGTGTTTTTGATGATCCGTCAATCATGAACTTAAGTTTTATAACGTATACTTGGGTAATTTATAATCACGAGTATTTCAGACATTGATGCTACTGATCAGTACTGATAGTCACCACTCGTCAGCATCGTCGACCGCACTGTTTAGTGTTCATTCTCGAGTCCCTCACGGAATTATCCGTATCGCAAGAACCTCGTTTTTTCCTATTATTTTTTCCCTATTCGTTTCCCACACAAGGAAACTGTCTCCTTTCCTAGACTTACGAGGTCTTTGCCCGAATTCTGAATCATTCGGAAAAACAATTTGATAACGCCGCCGAATGAGTTATGAGAATAGAAAATATTAGAACAGATGAAGTGAACAATGAATGATCGGCGTGACGAGATTCTGGCAAATATTATATCTGAATTATTTATATTTATTTATATTACAACTAATATATCTATATTTCCGTTGTTAAAGTTTCGCAATTGTGTTAATATTATCAGCATTCAAGTATGATAACTAATATGTTATTTTTTTATTGTAATATGTTAGTATTTCATTATTATATAAAGTGAATTAGAGTTTAGAACTTATGCAATTTTATCAAACTGACAATCTCTTCTTTCAAAGAGAAACAGAGAAGTCCAAGACATATAAAAGATAATATTCTACGTCTTTATGGCATCTTTTAAAAGTTATAACGTTTAATTTTATTATCGAATTTATGCAAAATACTTTTCACGTAAATTCAACGGCGTTCAGAAATTTAAATTTTAATTAACACTTGGAGAGATAAGGTAACTACAACCAATATAGTCTAATATTCAATGGCTTACTTGCTATTTGTAAATAGTTACATGAATGATTAAATCTTTACTGTATATACTCATGTATTGAAAATATGTCTCATGTTTTTAATATTCATAAATATTTCCTATTTTAAATTTCGATTAGTTTTTAATATTGGACTCAGCAAAAATCGCAATGTTTAACCATATTAAGTAAAATTATCTTACATGATATAAATGATTTAAAAAAAAAATTTAATAATTAAGCTAATTTGTAAATATTTTACATACAAAGTATCGAAATATATTTCTCAAATATATTTCTCTATAGCTGTTTTAAAAATGATTCTTGATTTTATTGTTATTAACACACTTTTCGATTGTATTCTTCAATATACTGATCATTTGCAGATGCAAGTTTCTCGCAATTATCGACTTGAAGCAAGAATATTTCGTCAGAGTTAAAATTGCGATGTTTGCAATCGAGAATCGGTTCGTTTAAATACACCTTTAGCTATTGTAAAACGAGATCAATCACGAGATCTGACGAAAGTCGCTCCGACAGCATCTCGCGCGAAGCTGTGGATCACGATGGCCGATGTCATACTGCCAGAAGTATCATTTCTCGTATATACCGAAGAGCCGACCGCTGCTTGCTTATGATTCGCGAGTTTACGTGTCGACGTGTCAGCTTCTATGAATTTGTGTAATCTCGTAGATCTGGTCATTTTTTTTATGACGTCAAGAGTCGCGAATATTCGGTACCATTAGTGAGCGGCAAAATCTAATGGAATATTTTGTTCAATGAACGTTTTATCCGTTGAAAGCTTAAAACGTTGTCGGTGATAAGCACACTATTGATAAGCTTATGATTGGCTGCACGTAATAAACATTCGGACGCAACTGAGAGACTGAGTTAAAGCTCAATGATTTATTTATTTCTATTGCGATATGTATATAGTGAACGAAATGCCGATACTTCGCGATATGGTAACAGAATTAATTAAACGCGTGAAATGTGCACGGAAAATTATTTTTTCCTCACGTGTCGCAAAAACGTATAACGCAAAAGAACGCTAAATGTGCGAATTATAAATTTGCATCTCTGTCTCAAAAAAGAAAGGATTTCAATGCCAACTCGGAATTTGTTTATACAAGGCCCGAACTATGTCAAGCTCATATGAAACTTCAATCCTTTGGTTGCAGCCAAATAAAACTGATCTTTCAAAATTCCCGACAAATAAAGTATAGAAACACATATTTATAGCATATTATTTAAATTATTTGCTGCATTATTTAAATTAATCAATATAAATAAACAATATAATGATAAATTGATAACAAGGAAAACATCAATTAATTATTTATTTAAAACTTTATTTGCGAAATTTTAAATTTTACTTGGAAGTGTCGGATCTGCAGCCAGAGAGTCAAGAATAATTTAATTCTTCACGGAACGAAAGCGATTCGCACGAGTCCAAATTGTGCGAGTACAGCGAACGCCCGAGTGTGACTGAGGAGCGAGCCATGCGTTAAATAAAAGTTCGTTTATTTCAGTTATCGCGTCGTGCCAAAAAGCCGAACGCAGCTGACAGCCGTTAGTGACATAGTAATCGTGGCAGCGACATCACACAGCATTTCCGACATAAATCAATCGAGGTGTTTCCGAGACAGTCTTTTGACTGTATTTTCAAGGGATAAGGTCCACAATTTTACTTTAAGAAGCTGTAAGTCGTAAAGCCTTAAAAAAATTGATCAATCACAGTTGAGTATGAGAAAAATAATCGATTGTGAATGATTAATTTCTTATGGCTTTATGGCTTAGGGCCTCTTAAATTAAGTTGTGAACCTAAACTAATAAGACAGTAAAGAAGAACAATTTTTTTAGATCTATGCGAACAGGATAGCAGGAAGAGGAGTTGATTTTATTACTGAGCATCAGAAATTTGCTATAAAGGATCTTGCACTAATTGTATAGAAAATTGAGTGAGAATGAAATGATTTTTCATATAATGTAGTTTATAATGTGGTAAACAAAAGGAGTCGTAGAGGAGATAATTGTAATAGATAATTTTTGAGCTATGTACTAATGATACTCTATGAACACAAGTTTTACACCTTTGATACATCTAATTCAAAAACTATTATTGTTAAACCTTAGATTTATAACATTTTTATTCATTACATTATAGGCTACATTATGGCCGATATTCATAATCCAATCTTATTTTAAGACTGTCTTAAGTAATGCCTTAAAACGCTAATACGATTCTGTGATTGGCTTATGATAGCTCAAAACTTAAGACTGTCTTAAATATAAGAACTGATAAATACCTGCCTATACGCGAAAACTGACTCATTTCACCAGAAATTAATTTTCCATATAATCAGTGCGGGATTCTTTTACTTTAGGACTCACAAAGATCTCAACTGCGACCCTGAAAAATATGGATAGAGAAATGGACATCCGTCATTACGGGACGCGATAAAAAGAACACAATCTTAGAAAACTAGCATCTTCATTTTTCTTTCTTCGTTCAATATTTTATACATAATTGTTCTCACAAAACTTTCGTACTCCGTCCTTGACGGAGATCCCTCACGGCGAGACGAATCCACCTCCTCATTTCTCACATATATCCTACATTTCGTTATTATATTATATTTCACTTTTACGTATCACTGGTGTACTCGATGACTCATCGAAGTCACTACGAAGTCGCGAGCGAATAATGTGGGAATTAAGTATCGATAACAATTCAATTTTGTCTATCTACATTGAATCCTGCTTATCGCAATCGTGTTCTAACTAACGCGAAAGAATTTCCTCACGAATCGAAGAGAATAATTCTTTGAGCACCAAACTGGAATTTCAAAGTTATAAAAAACTTCCTTTCCTAAAATGTATTCTCTTTACAGGTTTTTAAAATATTTCTCCTATAAAAGAAAAACTTTCCTTCGCCAAGAAAAACCAGGTGGTTAAAAAATAAAAATTAAATATCAACCCTTGGAAGGATTTTATATTTTTCGAAATATGAAAAAGATATTCTCATAAATATATAAATAAAATAAAAAATTAGAAAATATATACAGGGTGAATCATAAGTATGTTTTAAGTTTTATGGATGTTCCTGGATAAGAAGGAAAAACAAATGTTCCTATAAATTTATCGTAAATGCTTCATTATCAAAATAATGGACATAAGATTTAAAATAATGACTGAGTATCAGATCAGATTCTTGGTTAGACATGTATGGAAAATGATGGATACTTCGAGCATTTCTTGTAAACAAAAAATTCCCACTTGAAACTTTTAAATAAAGTCATTATTTAATACTACTATATTTGTGTCCATTACTTCGACAACATTGGATTTGCGATTCAATGTTTAAACAAACATTTGTTCCTTTTTTTAATTCAGAAACACGCTCACAAAATTTTAAAACATACTTATGACTCACTCCGTATATTGGATGGAAAGCACACAATTAAACGTCTTAAAAATATTTCAAGAATACCAAAAATCTTAAAAAAACAAACTATTGCGACTGCTTTAAATAAACGCTATTGAATAACATCGTACATATCGAATGCGTCTTAACGTACGACTTAGACGATACGAAATCACAAAAAAGAGAGAAATTGTGTTGCAACAAAATTATTGCGCGAGCATTAATGCGCGATCGCCTGCATGCTTATTACTTTTACACACCCTGATGACAAGAAAAATCCTACGATTTTTCTCATCGCGCCTTCGTCAAGTTCAAAATCTCACACGCTAATCCTGATCATCGCAAACCTATTCTCTCAAGATACTTGCAAAATCTCTCGATGAACATTTTTTCCTGCGGGCGCTTGACCGCCATCTCAATGATACCGACACTAACCGAGCAAAAGGACTTGATGAGCATCACGTGAGCCGCCATTAACAGGTCGTCATCGGTAGTGAAACGTCTGTCGCGAAGGAGCGATGCTAGTGACGGCTCGTCGTGACACCGAGCGTCCCAGAAATCGTCTTCGCGATAACAGGCGTGCCTCGCGTACGCGGCGGTGAGAACAGCGATCAAATACGCCAGAAATCTACGGTGACACCACAACGTCTCGTGATTGTCGTGCAAAGTGATGTATTGCTCATTATACAAGCACTCTTCCGTCCAGTATGACAACGCCGTTAGGTAACACCTAAGTTTGCGAACGTCGGTGGTCAAGTAACCGTGATCACGCTCCAGACGCGCGACCTCGCGAATACGTTCCAGCAACGTCCGTTCGTCGTCGTCGAGGTCGTGACGACCCATGTAGAGGAATGGACCATCGTACCTGATGGAGCGATAACCGGAGTTGTCGTGCGTCTCCCTGCCCGAGGAGATCACTGCCAGGATGTACTTTCGCAGCAGGAACTGTCGATAGGAGTACGCGCTATGATCGGACACATGCTGCCGGCACCAAATGAGCGTGCTCATCCATTCGCTATCGAAGCTGAAATGCCGTAAACCGCGAGACTCGAACAGGGTGACCAAGTGGCGTCGATAGCTCCAAGCGTGGTAGTTGTTCGCGTAGCGATCGGCGCAGGTCTGCACGAGCTCGAGCTCGTCGTTCGCGAGTGCTTCGGCGACGTCGGTTCGCTCGGCGTCCAGGACAAACGGCATCAACCAGCTTCGATACGAGAAGGCCTCGAAGCACTTTGGTGTGTGATAGAGCACCGGCCGCGTGAAGGACAGCTCGTCGCGTGGGTCCAACCTGCCAGCGCGCACCAGTTCTCGCCGCATATTCCAGAACATGGTCACGCTCGGATTGAACAGAAGGGCGCCCAGCAGCCATCTCGCCACGGTGCTGGGTTCCTCGCGCCGCTGATGACGTGTTCGCCGATACTCCAGCAGCCGGCGATAAGTGTACACGTAGAGAGGTTGAACGCACCACGACGCCAGGCCCAAGCTGTCCTCCTGGTGAAACACCGGCGATCGGTTCTCGCTGTCCTCCATAGGCAGGATCACGAAGCTCCTTCTAGGGATACAGAGAAGTCGCGACTATGTAAACTGTCGCTTCGCTTTGTGTAAAAAAAAATATGAAAAAAAGAAACGTCCGTAAATTCTTTTTGGTAAGACTCTTAAATTAAGAAAAGTACGGAGATAGTTATATACTGTTAAATTTATCAAATTATATCCAATCTGAGTTATTTTTAATCATTTCTGTGGATCATCGCTGCTCCTACTTAATATGTCGTTAATTTAACTGAAACAATAGAGTTAAACAATTTAATTCAAGAAATGTAATTCATTTGACTTAAATTTAATTTATTACTTACTAATCGCATACGTTAATATAAATGCTGTTTATTTTAAAACTAAGCAATTCAATCCAGAAATGGACTAATTTACATTTTGACATATATGAAAGTCAAAAATAACAAAAATGTTATTTAACTCAAGGGATTAGAGTCTATCATTGCTCCTTTGACATTTAACAGTGTATTATTCCGAGTATATATTCTATACATTTCCGAGTTGCTTACATTTACTCTCCAGAGTTGATTTAATGGATCCGTTGGATAGACCTTAATTATAAATCTCTTTGACAAAAATATCAAAAAATTCAATTTTTTTTACATCTGCAAATTTGGATTATTCTTATTAAAATATATGTATTTATTCTTTTTTTATACGAGATATGTCTTTTTGATTGCTTCAAATTAATTAGTGCTTTTTAATTAATACAAATTAAACTTACAGATCCAGCGTTAGTAATTGTATTACAAATTTTTAGAGAAAGAGAGAGAGAGAGAGAGAGAGAGAGAGAGAGAGAGATAAAAAATTAATATTTCTTATTATTAATTATTTCTTAGCCTAGTATATGTAATACTTAAAATTAGTCATAATAAAAGTCTATATATTGGGTCATCTAAAAAGTATCCGCGGTTTTTTGTCACTAGATGTGTGTTGATGGTCATATATCTAGTGACAAAGTACCCATTTAATCATTTCCCAAAGTAATCATTTCGAGTAATATAAATATCATGTATTATATTATAAATAAGTAATATTATTAAAAAAAGAGAAAGAAAAAATATGTATAATTATTCTCAACAGTGTATAGTGAATATAAGGCAAGAAAAGAAAAAAAAATAATTATCAATGTTTTCAGTAATAAATAAAAATTAAGATAATGCGTTATCTAAGCAATTTTCGTTTTATCAAATGTGTAGAAAATTATTTCCATATTCGGCTATGATTTATTAACATGTATGATTAAAAAATCCGCAATGCGTCATGGATAATGCAGCTAGATAAGACAACTTCGTCGTAATGCTGATGTTTGTAAAAATGAAGAATTTAGCTTGCACCGGCAAGTTTATAATCTCATGTAAAATTACGAGTCTCCTTACATCCATTCAAAGTTCTCTATTTTTTAGTTTAACAATTTAAACAATACATTTTAACTTCTAGTTATCAACATGAAGTATTAAATATATTTTACAAAGGAACATTTATAACAATCCTTTTTCGAAATTTCCACGAAGGATTTTTTTTAGATTTCGACGAGATTTTTTTTTAATTTATTGTAGAAAAAACTTAAATAAAAGACTATATTCTACTTTTTATATGCAAGCTTGTAAAATAGTTTCCCGATAGTTAATTTTTTATTATATTTGACTCTATATTCGATTTTGTGAAAATTACATAAAGCCTGTTATGTAAGATAGTACAATTACACGAGAAAATTTTATAATCATACATACATCAAAGTTTCGATAGTCAAAGGAGAGTAAATCCGCAAATAAAGACACAGTTGTTGAATTTTTTTTCTTCGTCGCGATTTAACCGGCACAAAAAATCGAAATCCCTAAAAATGAACGAATAATTAAAACCAAGTACATTATGCAAGTGGAATTAAGGAAACAAATCGCGATTATTAGCACTCGATACTCTCCGGATGGTGCTATTTTGCGAACAGGACATGGCTGATTAATTGTTTACAATGCATAACCATCTTCTCGTCTCCGTCGCATATATCTTCTATGTTTTCCCGTAAATTTTTTGTGAATTTTTTTTGTTTTGACTTAATCATAGTCGCGAACGCGAGTTTATTTTAATCTCGCGTTCAAAACCGGGATAACAAGATTAACAAGCATTTTCGATGAGAAAATAATTGGAACTTGTTTTAACGATCTTTTATTTTTATACAGCACTCGAAAGCTCACATTCATATTAACATGGGAATTCAAAACTTTGAAATTAAATGGGATAAATGTAAAATAGGACGTAATGCTTGTGTTCATTACTCTCTATATTCACATGAAACACGTTTCGTGTTAAACCCAGAATTAAGAAGATTGGTTTTAATTGCCCTCGGAGTTATTCAAAAAGCTGAATGCCAACTGTAATTTTCCTATGTCCGTGTTTCATAGTTGATTAATTATTAAGTCCATTCTATAATTGTATAAGCGTAGTTGTAACTGTAGTTAAAAATTAACCAATCACAGTTGAATATCACAGTTCTTCTCATGTTCGACTGTGATTGGTCAATTCTTGCAACTACAATCACTTACAAGTTAAACACTGTTAAATTTAGAAAATCAAATTATACCCAATTTTAATTATCTTTAATCATTTCTGCAGGTCGTCACTGCTGCTAGTATGTTGTTAATTTAACTTAAAACAATGGAGTTAAACAATTCAACTCAAAAATGTATTAAATTTGTATTAAATGTTTAGTTTATTATTTATTAAGTGCATACATTAATATGGACATTGTTTACTTTGAAACTAACCTAACAGAAATGGATCTATTTTTGATATTCATAGAAGTTAAAAATAAAATTTTATTTAACTCAAGAGATCGAGTACCGTTGCTTCTGCGAATCTAACAATGTACGCCTATACAATTGTAGAATAAACTTAACATTGCAATTTCGCGAAACATGAGAAATCACGCGAGCAAAAAAGGTCAAATAATTCATATGAATTTAAAAAAAAAACAGAAGAAAAATATCTATCATTTATTATTGCATTGAAATTCCCTTAAATGTTTACGAAGATTTATTATACTTTTCATAAATCTTTACGGAAATTTATCAAGTCCGATAATGAAATTTTCGACAATACTTGAAGAGTTAATGTTAAATCGAGCGCGCTCTCTCAATATTTCATAGATTATGATCTAGAGCAGCGGTCAATTACAGTTGGAGCTTGGAGCACGTGACTCGCGATAGACTCGCAGTCAACTTCGCGGCTATTATCGCGGCACGGTCGCCGTGACGGCGAGCGGCGTGGGCGAAAGTTGGCGCGCGCGAGATCGATCGTCGTGTTAAAATCACGAGGAGGTCGACTCACCTCCACGATCACCGGTGCACGCTTTTTTCCCTCCCCTCGTCCTCTAGCCGCCTATCCTTTCGAAGACTCCGCCCTCGCAACTGCGCGGTTAGGATCGCGTGTGCGTGTTTCTATAAGTTCTGTTTGCCGGTTTACGGGCGTTGCAGTGCGGGTTTCGAAACGAGGTTCTCTCGGAGAGCCATTTTAGGTTAGGATCCACCGAAGTCACTCCGCGGCGATTTTAAATCGATAACGCGTATATATAGGACCACTTCATCTGCTCAGCAGTTCTCACGCTTCATGGTTTCTAATATCGAGAATAAAATCGACGTAAATGCATTTAGACTTCGAAAAAGGTAGAGAATAACGTCGTAATAGGATGCAGAAAATATACTTGAGCGGAAACGACGAGAACCTGACGGAAGAGATCGTTAACACGATCGTAACTTGCGCTGAGTTCAAAATCGCGACACCGCATAAACGCGCGGAAGTGCGATCGGTCGTCTCGACTCGTGTAAATGACGGACGAACGCGGTGTGGCAGCTTTTTACGAGATTCACGACGGTCGAGTTGTCGACGTCGCGACTCTACCGATTTTGATCTTTGTCTGTCACGAGAACGAGATTAGAGACGGCAAAACACGCCCGTGCGCGGTGCAACGGACTTCCGGGTACTCGCGAGGAAAAAGATGAGGAAAAACGTGCACTCACATGGTGGGATTTCTCCGGACAGTGTTCTCGATGTCACGGAGGATCTTCTCGGCGGCCGGGAACTCGTTGTCCACCATCGTATGAGCCGCATCACATCTCCCTCGTGGACGTATCAATCGACGGCGGATGCGCCAGTGTGATACACCACCCTTCGCGTCCTTTCCTTCTCGCTTCCACTCTCCGTCCGTCTATCGCTCCCTCCTTCTGCTCTGCCGCCCCGCACGGCGTGTCCCGTTGCGACGTATACGGCGGTGCGGCACTTCACTCTGCGGAAACGCTATCGGAGCAGCCGGATGCAGCCGGAGTGCGGCAAGCAGACACGCTCGGCTGCGCGCGGCGCGAAGTCAGCCACGAGTCGGGCCGGTCGGGCGCGCCGCCCAGGCTCGCCAACTTCACGCGGCCTCGGCCCCGCGCGCGTCGTCGAGTCGTCGTTTACCTGCGTTTACCGCGCAATAAATCGAATCCCATTTTGCGCGACGCGCAAATTTTCCTGCAAGTCGATTTAATAGAAAAATTTATGTATATCTATCTTAACTACTCATTATATTAACACTACCTTTGATATATATGTAATATATAATTTATAATTAATTAATATGCGCTATTAAAATGCACACATTGTATACTTAAGTACTTTCATATATAATGATAAATAGCCTACATTTTTATCTCTAAAAGTTTTATTAATTAATTCAACTACATATATATCTATATATCCATATTTAAATTTTAATTTCTCTTAAAATTTTCCTTTGATTTCAAAATAATTTTGAGAAACATTTGGAAATATTCATCGAAACAAGAATATACATCTGAATTTTAGATTGGACATAGAGTGTCATAAAACGTCGACTTTGAAGACTTGATAAACAATTGAAATATGATAACACACCCCTATAAACTTAAGTATAAACTTCCTGCATAAACTAGGTATTGTTTTCTCTTTATCGCTTTCCGGAAAATTATCGTGTCGTTGATTACCGTAAACGTCTGATATGTTCTCATTGGACGCGCAATAATGCCGCGACCCGATAATAACGTGAAAGGTAAAGCTCGCTCGAGTCTTATTAAATCCTTGGATAACGATAATCGCGTCATATCCCGGCGTTCGTTGCGCGATAAAGCGAAGGCTCTTTTGCGTTTTTCGTTTTATAGATCGCGATAAAACTAGCGCTAGCGAGCTTCCTGCAGCGTAACATACGTAATGTAAGTTGCTTATTCCATTTACACCGAAACTTATTATTAGTCTTATTTATGACATCATATTTCAGTTGAATGCACGTTCTTTTTTTATTCTTACAAGTGAGATTCAACTTTTTACAATCTGCAGAAACGAGAGATCGAATCTTTCTAGTAAACAAAATATGTTATAAGACCTGATAATTCCACCGATACAAAATTAACTTTAATCTCGATTCAATTTACTCCTCTTTATCCTATTTCTATTTCTTAGTATTAGAAAAAGATAAAAACAGTAAATTAAACAGAGATTAAAATTAATCTTACACTGGTGGAATCAGTAGAAATCTAAAAAAACCTCATAGAAACATCATAAAAACGTCTTTTAGAACATGCATGTCTATAAAGATGTCTAAAATAAGATATCATAAAGGCCGTGTTCCAAATTTACTATCAGTGCTGAAAAATACAGCGCATGTAATGTAAACTAAAGATCTTCAGCGCTAGTAATCAATGGAACACGGCCAAAGATATCTTTTAAACATTGCGTGTTAACTAACATTAAAAAAAAGTAAGGTTATAAACTTGTGTTGTTACCCGATAACTTAAAAGTTGTATTCCCAAATTTACTGTCAGTACTAAAAATTTATAGTTTACGTCACGTGCACTATAGATTTTCAGTATTGGAAGTAAATTTTAGAACGCAGCCTTGGTCACCAAAGTAAGCTAACGTCATTTTCTGAATATAAAATATTTTCACATAACTTTAGACTCAGACTATGTTCTTAAACTTGTTCTTAACTTTTGCCAGTACTGAAAATTTATAGTGCACGTAACGTAAATTAAAGTAGATTTTCAGCGCTGGCAGTAATACTAATAATTTGGAATACAGTCCCAATATCACTTATTGTGTGGAAATGGAAAGCAACTGTAATAATAAAAAACTACTTGCGAGACTGACTGAAAACTGAAACAAACCGCGGCAAAATATCGATATCGGACATAACATCGAAATCGAGATCTCGACGATGTCACGTGACTGAGACAATCGAAGACGGTACGAAGTGAAGTGAGCGCGTAATTGCGACTCTGTGAGTCATAACCTCATCGTGTCAAGGTGTTGGCCACAATTCCGTTTCTACCGACTCATCTTTGCCTAATAAGGCAAAAAAAAAGAAAAAGCGAAGGGACTCTCAATTTCTCGACGCACATTCACAGTTCCAGCTTCTCCCATCCTTGACGTCCCGAAAAGGCGAAACGTTTGTTCGCGACATACAAATAATGTCTGACCCGCGTATAAGAACGCTCAAGATTAAGACAGGAGTAGTGAAACGTCTCGCGAAAGAAAAGGTCACATACGAAAAGGAGGCAGCGCAGCAGCGCGAGAGGATACAAAAGTTGAAAGAGCAGGGTGAGGATCGTTTTTAGCTATGAGGGGAGAAAAGATGCAATTTTTTATCTCGTGATATCGAAACTTGTTTCATAGCCACGTAATATTCAGAAATATTTACTGCGTAGATTCGTCTGATATATAATATTCAATTTCTAGTGTTAAATATCTTTATTAAAGATTTATAAATATTTTTAATGATACAATTGTTTCATAGGATCATAACTTTTAATATTTAAATAAATTGTATTCACGAGATGCTTTTTTTTCTCTTTAATTTTGTAATCTTTGAAGTGATATCATTGATAAATTAATATTAAACAATTTCATTAATAGTATACATGTGTTGTTATAGATAAAGATGGCTACGACATAAAGAAGCAAGAGGAGGTGCTTCAAGAATCCCTTATGATGGTACCAGACTGTCAGAGGCGTCTTGTTAAAGCATTTGAAGAACTCAAGAAGATTTTAGAAACTGAGCAAGATTTAAAGGAAGTCGAAGATTACATTGAGGCTGAAAAAGTATTACAGGAAGCAGAAGAACAGTTGCCAAAAGAAGGGGATATTTTGCAGATGTGTTAAAAAAAGTGCTCTTTAATGACTTTCGTTAAATTATTTTCAAATATTTTTCAACATTTTTATTTCTTTCCTTTACTAATCTTTTAAAATTGATTAATTTTACATTTAAAACTTATAGCCTAACTATTGTAGTTTAAGTTTTTTTTTGTCATTATTCTCACTTGAATGCACACATATTAAAATAAACATGTACAGTGGTCAATCTTTCCAACAAGGTACTGGACAAACTTATCAAAATATGCATTTAAACATGTACTATCCGATAAATCAGCAACAATTTCCATACAATGTAAATTATGGTGGGAATATATGTTATAATGTTTATCCAAGCCATGTAACATGTGATAACAGTACTATTAATAATGCGACGTCAATCGATAGAATAAGAACAAGACAAGAAGATGAAAAGGTCATTGAACAGTTCCTCAAAGAGACAGGTTCAGCAATTCCTGCCAAATGTAAACAGAAAGATCCGTTTAAGATCGCGGACACTAAGAGTGCATTGATGTCCGTAGCTAGAGAAGAGGAATGGCAGGAGAAGGTCAGTGCCTGTAATGCTGCAAAACATGAAATCTGCGAAATCTTAAAAACTATAAAAGATGCAAACTTTTTAAATAAAGTTAAGAACAATTTAGAGAAACGTAAGAAGAAACGTATGAGAGAACGATTCAGAAGGGAAGAATGGAAAAAGGAGAAATTACTGAAGGAAGAAAGAAGAGCAAGGTTACATGCAGAAGTTGATGCGTGGATCCGAAAAGAGCAGGCGGTAATTAAGCGAGAGAAACAAGAGGAGAACTTGCGTAAAGATGCGGATATGGTTTTATCCGATGTTCGAAGCAAGAGAAACGATGCACGAAAGTATCTAGGGATTTTACAAGAACTACAGAATTTACGAGAGATCAAAGCGAATATTGCTCGAGCGAGAGGCGAGAAATTGTCCTTAGCAGCTGAGAAAGCCTTCAATAATACCATCGGTAGTGTATTTTATTTTGCTACATATTATTTTCAATAATAAAAATAATAAGCTTCTTAAAATGCGAAATAAAAATAGACGTATCAATAAATACAATTAATATAATAAGGAATTCTAATAATAATAAAATAAATATAAAACACGATTAATAATAGAGTATTTAATACAGGCTAGGATTTTTTGTTTCTTTTCTTATACAAATTATAATTATTATATTTTTAATTATGAATGTATATTACAGCTAAATTAATAGAACAGTGGACTACTTTGGATCGCGAGTATGCAATAGAAGAACAGGAATTGAAATTAATGCTAAAAACAGATAACGAAAAAAGGATCGAAAAACAAACGAAAAATTTATTCGATGATTGGGAAAATGTGCTATTTGGAACAAATATATTGGCTGCTGAACAATCTTATAAAAATATAGATAGTTTTGTCATGATTCGGTATGTATTTAATATCGAGACGTAATTAATTTCAAATGATATTGTATCAATTTTTTTCAATCGAGAAAATGTTTCCTTTGTGCATTTCAGTAAAGCCTGGGATAAGTTCATCAGTTCAGAAAATGATACAACAACGATTCCAATTGGGTGGATAGTGCCTGAAAGACCATCTTCTGCTGCTTGGCAAAAATGTCTCAATAAGGAGACTTCTTGAAATAAGCAAATGACTTTTTGTCAATTTAAGTTTATTTAAAAAAATAAAAAACAATTTGCTAAAATATTTTCACTTAAGCTTGTGACTTGTATACACCAAACAAATACAAACTTTTTCACTATAAATTAATTTTTGCAAAATTTTAAATTTGTTACTCTTCACTTATTCATTAAGAGGAAAGTATTTAAATTGTTGCTTCATTTATATTTCGAGAAATTTAATGCTAATGTAATGTAAAATTATGTACAAAAAAACTATTTTACAAAAATTATTTTACAATTGAATATTTTATAAATTATTTTAAGCTATATTCAAAATAATATCACGTTCTGTTTGAGCGGCGTTTGATGGTTCCAAGCTTTGAATTTCTTTTATAGCAGGTAAAGAAGACGTTTCAGCACCAGACAATATCATTTGCATTGAACCTTGCAATTGGGTTAAAGCTAAAATTAACTGTTCTTCCTCTTGCAATTTTTGCGACAGTATAGCAAACGTTTTTCGTGTTTCCTCCGACAATTCGTCCAAATGATCTTCGTAAACGTCTATTAAACAAAGAATAAATTTTATTAAGAAACATGTGAAAAGAAATCTAAATGGAAATATTTAACACTTACCTAACAACACGTTTGCTACGTGCGATAATACTCTTCCAAAACGTATACTGCCAATATACTTGTTCAAGAATTTAATAATGTTAACTAGTGACTTGCCGTCTCTACCGGCCAATGCTCGCCTTAAACCTTCGCGCCTAATAAGTTCCTGTGTAAGCGCTACAGTGACATGTGGCGTTTTATTAACCACATAATTCATCATAACACAATCGAGCGCTTTACTATATTGAAACTTTCGCAAACAGGCATCATGCTTGCTCATTATCTCTTTCACTTCTTGGTGCACGACTACGTCAATACTTCGCACATGCAGATTTTCTCCTGCATGCCTATATGACACCTTCTTCCGTTTCGGTTTTATTACATCTTTCACGTCTTCCTCGCGTCTTCTAACAGAAATCATACCATCTACCATACCAGCTACGACGGTTTCATCGTCTACCTGCAATTTAATATTAATGCATTTAATCGTGTCAATTTTTATAAATAATTCAATTTTATAATATTAGATCAAATTTATTAACCCGAGAGTAGTCATTTTTTTACAATCTTGGGATATTTTTACATTCTAATTAAAAATCACTGTTATCATAATATATATTATTGAATATTTTCCAATTTAGTCTTTGAGAACATTATGGATTATATATAGATTTACTCAATTTTCTAAAAAAAAAAAGTAAATAGAAACAAAACAAATATTGCAAACAGATTAAACTCGTTAAGTAGCTTATTATGACAGAATTTTTGAAAAATAAAGATATTAATTAAAATTTTCTTATTGTTTTGATGAAATTGTATATTTAAAGATTTGTTAAAAAAAAACAGTTACTAAGAAGAAAGTAAAAAGTATTAAAAACGGAAGGACATAAAAATATTCCAGACGACTTCCCAGGTTAAATAAGTTTAAAGGTTAAATAGATGTGACAGCAGATTTAACGCGGTAATGGCAAAGACAATTTGTTCTGCTTACACTAATTCCTATGCTGAGAACCGCATTAGGATAATCCAAAGCATGAAGAGTTTTATATGTTCCAGCATCGTAAATCTTAACATGCCTGTCCAACGAACCAGACAGTATTCTATGACCATTAGAAGCAATTTTCAGACAAGTAATAGTTTTATGATGTTGTGTAATTTTCGCGAGCAATTTGCCACCCGCGAGAGCATCCCATACTTTAATATCTGTCCCACCTTGAAATTACAGATAAATAAATAATAAACAATTTTATATATAAACCCTCAATTGTATGAAATTGTATATAATGTATATATAATATGTATAATTATTATACATATTATTATACATATTATATACATATTTATTTAAAAATTTATAAAATTTTTTAAACAATAATAAATGATTTATTAAGACCGTACAATGTGAACATAGTAACAATTTAATATCTAACGGTCAAAACAAAATCTTAGATGCTTATAATTTTCATATGAATTTATATATTGTATTACATAATATGTATACTCATTTTAATTGCACAGTAAAATTTTTTAAAATTATATAGATACATAAAATATATCAATCAAACTATCATAAATATTATACCTGCTGACAGAAATATTCCTCCAGTCGGCAAGAAGAGTAAACTTTCTACTGGTGCGTTATGATTAACACTAAATACTTTCTTATTCGTTCTAGCATCATACATATTCACAATTTTGTCATATCCGCCGGATAGTAACACATCAGAGGATACAGGACTCACTGCGCCGGCTCTGACATAATCTGTATGTTCATTGAAGCTTGTCAATTGTTTTTCACTAGGTATGTCCCACAAAGCTACAGTCTTATCGTCTGAAAATGAGGCAATGTGAACATCATCTGTTGTGAAGAAAACTCTGTGCACTGCAGCTTTGTGTCCAGAAAAGATTCGCAACACGCTATTTGAACTGATATTAAAGAGTTTAATCACTGCTTCTTCTCCACCCACACACAACAGCTTGCCATCTCTACGAAAGCAACCTCCATATGCAGCTTCTTTGAACTTGCTGTAAGTTTTTGTAGCTAACTTTGTGATAGGATTATACAGTTGTACTCGTACTGAGCAGGTTGTTGCGAAATAATGTGGCTCTACTGGCGAGAAGTCAATGTAGTCTATCGGACCAAATTCTTTTATTAAAACTGGAGGCTATAAACATACATAATTACCACAAATAACTCATCATTCTCTATAAATATAATTTTAATAAATGCATAGACTACAAAAATTAACTCTTAATACACAAAAATTAACCCTTAGATGATTTTCTGATCTTTTACTCAGAGAGTCATTCATGTTCCAGATTAATTTTCACCACTTTAATAAATATACAAAAATTATTAAATACTTTTTACACATACTTTAACATCTTTAGAAAATATTTCTAAAGTTATATATTTAAAAAAATTATATCTAAATATTATAACTAATTACTTGATGGTCCTAGTTTTTTGAAGAAAAGAAATATGCTGAGAAATATGCACGAATGATCTAATCATGTGTACTAAGAATTAAAAATAGATAGAGAGATGTTTTAAAGATATCAAATTTATTATAGGCAAATGAAAGTATAAATCAAATGAAAAATATAGAAAAGTTTTAATATAAATTAATAGTTTATAATTATATTTATATTATAAATACAGACTTTATATTACTTTGTGAAGCAGACTGCTTATTTTACAGTCTTATTTATTGGTGTATGCTATATTCTCATCAAACCATTAAACAAAGGCAGACAATAATATTTCCGATAACATCATTCTAACAAAGAAATTTTAAAGAAAAGATTATCCTAACAAATTGGAAAATTTTTTTGTATGAATCAGAATGTTTATATGACATTCAAACAAAAAAAAAGATTTTTTTTAAGACAAATGAGAAAATGCTTTCTGTATGAAGTAGAACATATATTTTTTTAGTTTTTTCTTTATATACATTTAAAATATTACAAGCAACATTTCATAAGTAAATCGATCAGCTTTTAACTTGGATTAATACTATCGAAAAAAAATTTATGTGTATCATAATAATGAAATTGTTTTCTTTTTTGTTATATTATTACAAAATGTGACAGAAAAATAAAACGTAAAAACAATTGGTGGATCTAATCAGGTTATGTACCGCACACGTGGGCGTAGTATTAAGATCACGTTTTTTCCATATCAATTCCTACATACACATACCGCATATTTTTTCCAATATATATTGTCTTCAGTTAATTCCGGTCCTGTTCGGGCAAACACTTTGGTATTTATCTTCTTAAACGACGTCATTTTTAAAGTTATTAAGTCTAAAAACAGTATAAAATGCGTATTATCGAAAGATTTTCGGCGTATTCAATATTTGTGGTAGTTCCCAAGATAGAACAGTAGGTTTGTTCGCATTACTTGAAATCTTCAAAACTTTTGCACTTAAAACGAGATAAATATATATTCAAGCATTAAAGAAAAAGAAAGCAAAGATGCTGAGTGCAAAAAGTGCAAGTAACGTGAACGGACTTAGCGCGGAATTGTGTAGAATGTAGAATAATTGACTGTTGATACACGAGTTTATTTTTTGTAGCTAAACTATTTTAGAATTTAAAGTGAGATATATTTAATATCTGGTGAAAGCGAGAAAGAGAGATTTTGTACAGTCTAGTGTAGGAATAGGCCTATTCTTTTTAGCTAAACTTCTTGCACGGTTCATCTTTTCTCCTTTTCTCTTCAACGTCAAGAGAAAAGAAAGAAAGAAAGCTAAAAAGAACTTCTCATAAAACAGACTTAACGTAAAATCTTATCAAATTTGTGGACAAAAAATTATAACTTTTTCCTATGACTTTGCGAACGCATTGATCGTAAGCGCGAATTGCTGGGCACATTCAAGCCAGATACACAAGTAAGAACCAATCACGTTCAATCGCTTGACGAACTGACTGTTTTGTCCAATAATAAAAGTACCTATTAGATTTATTTTTTATTGCTGCGCTGCATTAGAATTTTTCTCTTCGCTTTTATCAAATTTTAAATATCACTTTAAAGCCCATGACACACAAAAAATAGTAAACAAATTGGCCAATTACAGTAAAGAACGCAAGGCAATAACATAAACAATAAAAAAAGTAAATCCAAAATGTTAATTAGCTCACTATATATTTTATATTACTTATTGCTTAATTTTTGTGTGTGCCGCAGTCTTAAGTACAAAAAATATACAAAGTTCAGCAACAGTAAAAAGAAATAAACATATTCTTTTCAATTCGCCATCAACCGCGTTCAAAAAGCTTATTTTGCGACTATTAGAAGTTTTCTCGCTGAAATAAGAACATTCCTTTAGAGTTAAAAGTATTACCCAATCAGCCAGATGGCGGCGACAGGTTAAACGACCCCCTGGCGAGGAGTTAAATAGGGGAAAGTCAAGCTGATGTTGACAGTTGTAGGTGTGCACGTGGTGGAAAACCATCATAGATCATTACGCACACCTGACATGCCGGTCGTTCCTATCATGCTGTCGGGATAAACGTCATCATCTCCC